ACAAGTAAAATCAGTTTACTAACAAATGTGATTCTCAAGAACTACGTTAAATTGACTTAGAATGTAATAATTTTTTTGTGAGTCTTTGTAATTCCTTTTTCTCAGGAAATAAGTAGTGATGTAGAAGTGGTAATACTCTAACTTGCTTGATATGAAAAAAAAAAAAAAGCCAGCTTTTTTGCTGGCAGTGTTGATCTGACATTAAAAAGCAAGTGACCAGATTGCAGTGCTTCAAAGACACCTTTAGATGTAACCTTCATAATTAAAATTATTACCAACCAGGTAGACTGTTAGGCTTTCTTATAATGTGAATATTCAACTGAATCTGTTTGATAAAATATATGCTTAAATACATGCATATTAGAAATAATAATTCATATGCCAGCATTTCATTCTGAGTCACTTGGAATGAAAATTATTTACATTATGCTGAGATGCATACAACCCATCTATAACAAATAGACTAAGAATAAATAAAGTGAACATTTATTTAAAAACAATTGCAAGATGTTTTACATTTCTGCTCAGTATCGAGCAGCGTGTTGAAAATGCGTTTTTCATAAAACCACATGCAAGGCTTTTTGATGGTGAAGAAATCCACTCACAACAGCCACATGTCTAGGGAAATCCTTAGAAGCTAGTATGGACCCCACACAGACATTCCAGAAGAGAAGGCATTACTAGAAAGTAGTTTCTCTTGAAGTGAAGTAGAATATGTGTGAGCCTACTAGGCCACTTTGATAAATAAATAAAAGTCTTTTTTTCTTTTCTAGCACAAAACTGGTTCAACTGGAGGGCAAGTTCACATTTTACTTAGGGTTTTTTTCCCTTTTTTTCTTAAATGATCCCTTTACTTATACGAAGATACGAATTTATTGACTCCCCCTGGAGTCAATACTCGGCCCAGTCCTGTTCAACTTATTCATCAATGACCTGGATGAGGGGACAGAGTGTATCCTCAGCAAGTTTGCTGATGATACCAAACTGGGAGGGCTGGCTGACACTCCAGAGGGCTGTGCCGCCATCCAGCAGGACTTGAACAGGCTGGAGAGCTGGGCAGAGAAGAACCTAATGAGGTTCAACACGGACTAATGTAAGGTCCTGCATCTAGGGAGGAAGAACCGCAGGCACCAGTATAGGGTAGGGGTGGATCTTCTGGGAAGTACTACTGAGGAAAAGGATCTGGGAGTCCTGGTGGATGGCAGGATCTCCATGAGCCAACAATGTGCCCTCGTTGCCAAGAGGGTCAATGGAATCCTGGGCTGCATAAAGAGAAGTGTGGCCAGCAGGTCTAGGGCGGTCATTCTCCCCCTCTACTCTGCACTGGTGAGGCCACAACTGGAATATGTGCTCTGGACAATCCTGCTTTAGAGGTCCCTTCCAACTTTGTTAAATCCATAAATCCGTGAATCCGTGTGTGCAGCTGGGTTGGCTTTGGCTGCCTTGTAGTTACAACTTCTAATGTCAAAACCATACAATGACTAAACCAGGGTATATATAACAATAACTATATATTTATTGGTTGATTTTTAAGTAAACTGGTGCAACCTATGTGGACGATTTTCACTTGCTATGTTTATTACATTCTGAAGGAAGCCTGCCTCTATATTTCCTGTTAATTCTATTTTATTGCATGGAATTAACCAAACCTTAGTTGCTTGGATTCTTTTCAGCTTTAAAAAGAAACTCCATATAAAATTAAAGTTCTAAAAGTAATAGTTTCACTGGAATAGGTAAAACTATAGTCTTATAACCTTTGGACACGTTCCTTTACACCTGAGCTTTTCAGGGTAAGAAGTAAAAACAGAGGAGGAAACATACAGGTTAAGCACATTTTTGGGAATTTATATAATTTTTCTGAGCAAGAACAAAATTCCTAGGACTCCATAGTTTGTTGCATTCTAAGATTGATTTTTGGTTTAAGCTTGAACTTTTTCCAGTGTGTCTTTCTTATGAAATGGGATGAACTGGCCTATATTGCATATCGTGTCTATATAGTTTCAGAACCATTTGGTACATTCAATGTTTTTTCCCCTCCTCAGAGCTACTAAATGAGTCCCATTTTCCCTAGCAATACTAAGTGAGCATTCTATCATTTTAGTTTATTCTCCTGTGTAAACCAGGGTTAGTCACTAACTTGTTAAATGTTATGATTGATGCAGAAATAAATTTGTGGGTTTAATTTGGAATTCACAGCAGTGAGTTTGTTCTTCATGGTGTCATATCTGCACTTTGGAAGGAGTCAAATTAAAAAGCATAATTCTTACTTCTAGGTTACACTTCCCTACCTCATCCCCTTACACAAAAAGGTTAAGTGTCTTTTCAAATTAAGGCAGCAGTAATTAACCAGTGGCATTGTTTGTGATTTGCCAACTCTGGGCGTTAATGAGAGAGAAATTAGCACTTAGCAGCAGGAGTTCCTGATAGTCAGTGGCAAATGCTTAATGTGCCAGCAAGTTAATTTTGGTCTTAAGTACTGTACTTAAGTGTTTTTAAACAAAAGTATGGTATGTTTTTTACGTGAGCATAAATATGGGCTGCATGATACAGAGGTGTAATAGGAGGAATGACACAAAATAGTGGAAAAAAGTGCAACCTAGGCAGCACAAGGCAGATAGTTTTGCTATAATAACACAGTCAAAAGCAGGATTGATGGATATTTTCATGCTAAAGATGTACTTGCTCCTGCAATTAACAGTGTGCAGATGTTCTTGTATTAAATTTTATCATCAAATTGGGCATTTCTGAATGTAATTTTTTTAGCACAAAATATTCCTGAAATATAGTGCTTGAGCTGTGATGGTTTGCTAGAAAGACATGAATTAGCCTTTTGAAGTCTCAAAATATTGATTTTATTAAAACTTACAATTTCAAAAAATAACAAATTACTTAAGCACAGCCCCCCATGTGTTTTGTGGTGGATGGGGGATTCAGACTGCCACACAGAGCAAAATGAGCCCTTCAAAACTTGGGCTGAGCAGCTGCTCATTAGCATCAAGATTTTACCTGGCACACGCACTTGTAGTGAGTAAGTACTTGTGTACATTTCATAGCTTCTGCCTGGCATAAGATAGCCCATTAGGAATGCAAGGTCTGCTCCCTATCTTCCGGGGATTTTTGCTTTTAAAATAACTTTGGTTAGTACATAAGCACATCCCCACCCAATTATACCTCTTCTGTCTTTGGTTGATGTGGGAACAGATGCACAGTCTGTGAAATAACAAAAGTAAGGACCATCCTGTATCAGCAAATCACGGCCTCTCACCGGAGGCAGTGAGCATCGGTCCTTCCTTTCCCTTGCCGCTTGAGCCTCCTTACCGCTGGGCCAGCTGGCCTCCAGGGTGCAGTGAGGCCCTCCACATCTTGGCCTGACGTGAACTTAAGCAAAGGAAAATGGAGAGACATTAGAGGCTGAAGTTGGCCAGCCAGAGAGAACTTAGGAATTGGGGTAGGCAGCATCGCCCTTCCCTATGAGCCACTTTTTTAAGTCTGAGCTTCATTCAATGCTAAACGTGTTGGAAATCGCTAGATTTGTCAGAATTTTATCTTTCCACTTTCAAATATCACCTTTCAGTTGCAAAAAGCACATTTGCGGATGTTTCCTCAGCTCTGCTGAGGGGTAATTTACTTTGCCACTGAGCTGTGGCTTAGGTTGAAGGGTAGTAGCCATAAACCGAAATGTTATAGCGCTGTGCAGCAGTTTTGGGCAAAAGACTACCGCATCTAATTGAAACTGCAGGAGGAAGCCACAGGGGTTTCTTCTGCCTTTGATGCTTGTTCCATTACATGAGCACATCAAATAGAGTTTTCCCTCCATTGTTGGAAAGAAACCACCCTAATGAAGCCGGTCTGGCACTACCCACGGTTTTGAGTGCTTGTATTGTCTGTTAAGTGGACATTTAGGTTACCATGCATCCCCTTAACACGTTTTTATTATAATTAAACATTAACAAAAATTGGCTACCATATTGGTTGAGTCCTGAGCACAGCTCTGCATATAAACCATTACATGACATTCTATTGAACTTTTTCTTGTACAGACGGTATCTAACAGCTCATCCTGCACTGTTGGTTTTGGCAAGTTCACTACAGCATATAATAAATCAAGGAAAGAAAAAGCTTTTTGGCCTCATGTTGTACAGACTGCTGTAATGTTAGACTACAGAAAGCAGTTCTGTTTTTAGACATCCTTTTACTAACCCAACATTCATAATTTATGATTTCACTGTAAAATTCCTGCAACACTACACCAAAAGTAGTGCTGCCCTTTAATTAAGTGCTCTCAGTAGGAAAAACGTGAAACTGATGTGCAAAACATATCGCAGTACACAGTGATTGATAGTGATTACTTCTTTATGAACCCAGCCTGAAGGTCTGAACTTCCTGATGGGTAAAATAGTCCATGGGGCTACTTCCTGAGATTGCCTAGTGGGGATCAGTCAGAGTTAGCAATATCTGAGGAATTCCTGAGGCGCATTTCGGAGACGTTACAGCAGAAACTTTCTGTTTCTTTCTGAATTGTGCTTTACCTTAATAATTATCTAAATAATAGCTCATTGTAGAGATTATATTTTAAGGATTCACTGATATCCTCATGGTATTACAATTTGTGTGAACTGAGACTTGCATGAACCCCTGGATTTTTAATGGCTACATGTTCAAATCTGCAAAATCAGAGTGCATGGCAAGAGAGACATCTGTATGTAACAAAATTACTAAATGTTACTTAATGTTTAAGGCATAGGTCTTTTTTTTTTACTAATATGTGCAGAGTATTCAAAGGAAAAAGCAAAACCCTGAGGTAGATTGTTTGAGGCTCTAAACAGCACTTTTATTCAGGGAATCAGGTATTAATGACATATATCAATTCCACATTGATTAAAATTTGAAAATTAAGTGGAGGTCAGATTTTGCAGTGAAATGAACAGATTTACTTGTGTTGGGATCGCAGCGGTGGCGAAGTTCAATCGCATAAATTCATTTTCCTTTTTGCTTGATAGATTTGGCCCTGGATTGGTCATCTACTGGTACGGATTTATTGAAGAGCTGGACTGCCATCGTGAACGTGGTATCCTGCTAAAAGACTGCTTTCCTACTGACATTGTGACTCTGCGACACAGCATGGCTCAGCACTGATGTTGGGAGGAAGAGGTAAATCCGGAAGCAATTTTACTTTCCTGCAGTGTAAACTAATGGCAGCATCTGCCCTGAACTTCAGCTGAACTCCTGCTGCCTGCCCTTATGCTACTGCCTCTTTACACAAACATATCAAGAGTTTCTGTTTTGCTTCAGACCTCTGTTGTGATCAGCCAAAAAAGACAGACACAACCCGCTCATTATCAGCATTTCTGTCTCTGTCAAACAGCTACTTTCTAGATACTCACAATCTTCCTTCCTTCCGGATGGCTTCTGCGAGCATTCTAAACAAAGGCAAAAATGCGGAGGCTGAAAGGTGCAACTTTCAGTTCTCATCCCTGTTACAGAGTCGCCTTTAAAAATAGGTGGCTTTTTTATGGTTTCACTCACGAGTTTATTCAGTGCTAGTGGTCTGACTGAATCACCTACACCGATGCAGAAAATTGGTTAAGACTGTTATTCTGGGACTTAAAGCAATGTAAAGCAAGGCTTATAAAGCCCAGGTGGTAAGATGGGATCATATAATTCCTGGCTGTTATGGTAAATAGCCAGATTTTGAGAGAATAATTTGGGTATGTGTTAAGTCACTAGCTGATTGATAAAATCAACAATGAAATCCCCAGTTAACAATTTTTTAAAAAAATTAAGTTAGGGGAGTTTCAGGGAGGGGTGAAAGTGAAACGCAAGGATTTATTTTGTGTATATGAGCCTATGAAGTTTGGGGTTAGTTTTGTGGTTTTTTAAATAAGTAGTTTAATGACTCAAAAATAACTTGTGTTTTGTCTTTTCCTCCCCACCCCTCGGGGAATCTATGCCTAGGAATTTTTCTCTTAACTGACTTTAAGGAAGGAATCGGTCTTGACCCCTGTAGGTACTGTAACATGCAATTTTCTGGCATACTGACATCCGAAAGAACAATGTGCAGGAGCTCTCTATGTGGGTTACTTCTGAAGATTACCATTCTGATGTTCAAGTAGGGGAGTGAGAAAAAGATAAAACAATGCTTCATACTGGATCAGTTTCACAAGACAAATAAAGCACACGAATGGACATAAGTTTCCTGCATACTTCTGTATTTTTGTAAGACATTGTTTTTCTATCACTGGAACCACTGAGATCAGAGGTCCATTGAGGTGGGTGTTAGCCCTCCTTGAAGTTTTGAGGAGTTGAGTCTCATTCTATTTCCATCCCCATCACCGCTCAGAGGGGCAGTGTTGGGCCTTAGGTTTGAGCTTTCAGTTAGAGGTTTCTTAATGACAGCAGCTTATTTGGCTTGGCACTCTTTAATACTCTTTTCTTTGCTAACTGGCATTCTGGAAAGGACTAAATATTTTTAAAAGTTGGAGTTTTTCATGTATGCTCACTATGTTCAGATTTTCAGAGAAGTTAAGCAGAGGTACAGATTCTGTTGTGGAATTAAAGGTGTGAGAACAGACTCCCTAAAGCACAAGTTGATAACCTCTTCCATAAGGAAAGAGTCTTTAAAACATTACAGGCTATATTCATCATCTTTTTCAGTTGAGGTGATACTTTATGCGCCTGTATGATTTCAAAAATCACATGCAGGCTTTTTACAGCCTTGCATTGAGTTAAAAGAAAGGGTATTAATCCGAAATAGGTTTTTTTCAGCTATAGTTTTCAGATGCATACACAGTATTTTTATTTTGAATTTTTAGTTCTCGCTTTAACACTTTTTAGTTCATTTCAGAAAGAAGTTTATCATTTTGACTAAATGTTAATTTTCAGGAAAAAAATATCTTTAGTCTTCCTAGCACTCTGTCCCTAGCTGCCAAAATAAGCTGGTGTAGCTCCACTGCAGTGAGTTATTGTTGCATAGAGATTATTTTCTTGGGTTTGAATGTGTTATACTGGCAAGATTTATTTTTTAAGAAATATTCAAACACCTGTAACTCATTTACGTTCAACTATTTAAGGTATTACACTTAGCTTATTTTACCTGACCAGCTTTAAGGATTTGCCCGTAAAGATACACAGAAGCAATCTGTGAAGTGTACCTGCCTGATGCTATACAGAAGCTGCATTTCGGGTGTTCCTTCCCCTGGGACTTTTAACTGTGGTTTGGGTTAGTGGAATGTGTAAAATCAAAAAGAGGATAAAAAAAGAAGAAATAACTGAACATTATTGTAGTTGAAAATTCAGAAGTAATGGTTGTCTGAGTGAAATGGGTTTTAAGGGCAAACTGAATTTGTTTTAGCTAGTGCATATGCTTTCTGTTGTATGAAATCATTTAAATCAGCTTTTACATGATGCACTAATGCTGCTTTTTCTTTTTGAATAAATTAAATTTATCTGCACAGATGTTGAAAATTCTGCTCAACCTCCATCAAAGCTTTGCTTTATTTGTTTTTGCATTAAACAAATTTATGTGGGGACACACAGATAAATCAGGTTAGGCTTGTATTTGTTTATTTATTCTTCTACCTAATGCTGTGACATAACAGGTTGGAAAGCAGTACAGCTGTCTTTAATCAAAGCTTTGACCTCATCTTTATATATTGCCCCCTTTAAGAATATTTGTATTAGGATGAGGATGAAATAAGCCACAAAAGTGTACATACTGTACTAATTTCATTACAGGCTATCAAACAAGCTTTGCCACCACAAAAATTATGCTGTCACTATTTTAAATGCAGAAAGCAAACATTGAAAGAAATTAAGACTACTTTGTTATTCCTACTTCTATCTTGCAAAAAAACACCATTTGTGTATTTTCTCTGTCAGATGTAAACATCAACTTTAATATTAAAGCGGAGAGACTGCTGTTTGTGGGTGGTTTGTTGGTTTTGTTTTCTTAAACAACGCTGTAGTCATTAGAACCTTAGCATTAAAGCCAAATCCAGTTTTATGGAGTATTCTGTAGAGTGTGCTAATGAATTATGCCAAGCTAGAAAACAGAAGTGTGCATAAAACTGAATGATGTTCTCACTGGCATATATAGACTTGCCAAGCATCTGCTCTTACAAGCACTGTAATAAGGCCTGTTCTGAGCTTTAGGAATTGATGTAATTGTGTTGAACAGGGAAGTAAAACTTCCTTGTATAGGAGGAGTAGCACAATGGTGGGTCACACGCTAGTAGAAAAAGAAAATATTTTTTACCATTCCTATATTTTGTGAACATATTACTAGTAAGGATTTAATAATCTTTTCCCAAAACCAACTCAAAGCGGAATAAAACTTCTGATCTAAAGATGAAGAAAAAGGACAAAATGCCTTACTGTGCTTACCTCATTACTATTTTATCACGTTAGTAGTACTGATAGTTTATGAAAAATTTTTCATCCTATTTTGTTATATTCACTCATTCAAAAAATCGTTCTTGGTATTTGCTTTTGGATTTCTCCACCACCTAGACTACTACAGAAGACTATCCTTGGCTTTTTCCATTTGCCCTAAAATCTTTCCCTTTTAATTTTCCATCTTTTTTAACCATTTGGCAATTACTTATTCAGTATCCTCCCCTTTGCCTGTGTTTCCCCTTTGAAAAGTCTGTCCTATGTTTTCTACTGCCTGCTTCTGTTTCTGGTACTACACCTGAAGAGTGCTGTTCCCAGTTCTACGTGCCTTTGGGCTGACCACCACATCAGGCAATTTTGCTCTTACTTAAATTTAAACAGCAGCTTTTGGTATTGAGAGTAGAGTTGTACAAAGGACTAAGTGAAGAGTCCATCCACGCTACTAGGGAGCAGGCGTAAGCGGTGTTAGGAGTCGAGCTCTTACAGCAGTCTCTCTCATTAAGGACACTTGCTTTCTGCAAGCTCATGCCTGGCTTGTGCAGCACTTCTGCGAGAAGGTCTGTGGGAGTCAAAGGTTTAGCTTTCCCCCTGTGCCAAAATCTGCTTGGCTCTGAAGGGAAAAGATGGCTATCACCATTTTCAAACCACGGCCGTTCTGGCAAAAGCTCATACATTCTACAGGTTGTTCTTGTTTACCAGAGTTGGTTACGACTCCTCAAGGATCAACAAAAGGTATGCAGAATTGAACTCGATTCTTCCTTTTACTTCAGCTGAAGTAGTCTCACTATTTAGGTGGCTTCTGAAGGGATCTTCTGCAGCTAGACAGTGAATACGGAGTGAGTATAACAGTTATTAGAAACATGCTTTTGTTATTTCGAGGCTGAGATTATAAATACATTAAGACAAATGCTGCTCAAATATTAATTTAATATTATGGGATAAAATAGACTGCCTGCAAAAACAACAACAAAACCAAATCCTCCTGTGGTGTTATTCTAAGTCACAAAGGGCCATTTGTTGTGGATTTGCAAGTTATTCAGAAATAACCGTTTTATTACGTTGACAAAAGAAGAAACCTCAAGGGCTTGCTCTTTACTGTGGTGTGATAGGAACCTAAAGTGTGCCTGTTGAAAAATGAACCAGTTAACAATGGGAGCTTGGCAGCAACTTGGCCATTTATAGAGAAACCGTCTATCTAGGACGATCTGTATAAAATAGACCTCGCTTAGGTTAGGGAAAGGTCACAAGTTACACAAAGTTTGGATAGTCTAAATGCGTTACTCAAAACTAACTCTCCTGTGTATAGTAAATATTATTTGAACCTGTATTATTAAGAACATGCCAGGATTCAAAAGATTAAATAAGGAAGATGTAATTATGAGCTAAATAATAAACAGAGAAGTTTTAGTTCCCCTTGTGTTTTTCACTTTCCTGCTATTGTTTCATATATGGCTGTTATACAAAGAGCAGCTTAGGTCAGCTACTATAAATTATGGGTTTCGTACAATAGTAATCTACCAAAATTATTTCAAAGCTGGATCAAAGAGCTTCAAAAGACTTTTCAAAAACTTTTCCACATAATAACAAGACTTCATTTTGATGCCCTATTTTTATAAGGATTTCTTGATGTGGAGTTGCACCTTAAAGTATTCAGCTACTTGCATGGATATTCCGTTATTGGAACACATGAGATTTGCATAATTTGCAGCCTCAAATAAGCATGAAATGGTAATATCAAAAAGCCTTTTTTTTTTAAAATACATTACCTTGTGCATTTTTCAGGCTAGGTTTTTAAGCTGATCTCGGTGAGAAGACTTTTGTCTGATTTTTAAGATAAGCAGCAAGATTTCGAGTGAAATTTTATCTGACTTTCTTCCCTTTACAAACTTGGAAATCGCGTTCGCAATGGTAACAGTCATTCACAGTGATAACAGTAATTCTGCTTAGTGGCTTGTAGCTGGCACTGTGTGCCCTCGTAGGACGTGGGCCTGCCCTGGCTCCTGGAGAGGGTCTCTCCTGACCTGAGCCATCTCTGTGTCTGCGCCCGTCCACAGAAGTGGCAGCGCCGCGTCACAACAAAGTGAGATGTCAATGGGAGGGTTTGGAGACCAAGTAACAATATTGAAGCCGTGTCAGTGCACATCTACAGGGACCACGTTACTCTGTCAGTGTGATTTTAGGAAGATCACTTTGAAATGTTAAAACGAAATGAAACTAAGTCAATTAGTAATAACAATTGAGGTTCAGGGATTAATTGAGGGCCTAAGGTGAAGCCAGTGACCATTAACCCCAGCTAGTTATTAATTCTCAGAGAAATATCCTTGGCTAAGGTTATTCTCATTATTAGGGGGTTTGGAGTTTTTTCCCTGTATTGTGTAAATACTTTTTTGCTGTTGCTTCTAACAGTGATACTACAAAATGTGGTGTTGAAGGGCAGTAGTTTTTATAGAAAGTGAATCCACCTAATATCAGGCAAACCCTTGGTTGTTTTTCTTTATATATTTAACAGATTGATCTTGATGTCCAGCTGACAGTATGTAAACAGACAGATTTACTGTAATGTATTTACCTCTGAGAATCTACCGAATGAAAAAAATATGAACATGGAGGAGTCTTAATCCTCACAGCAACTACTCTTTGCTGTGTGGCCCAAGTAAGCATTGTTAACATAAAGCAGACATGTAAAATGGTCAGAGAATTACAGAACTGTGTCAAACAATAACTATTAAAAAATTATTTTTGAAAATATTTAAGCAAGCACAAATATCAACAACTACAGGTTATGAACATTATACAAATTCAGTTTTCCAGAGTGTTTGACTGTAGCATTAAGATACAAACGTGGGCTATATCATTTATTTGATACTGTTAATGAGAGGTTCTTCCCAAGATCGATGCCTCTTTGGTCCAACGTGCTGTACAAACACATACAAAGACTCCCCAGGTCTCTGTCCGAAGGAGAGATGACAAAGGAGACTAGATCAAAGGAATACAATTGTTTTATTTTTATATACTTATTTACATAAATACATGCAAATTTATATCTAAATATGTATAATATATACAATTATTCTTTGTATTAATAATGCCACTTACCCTTATAAAAGTCCCTGCTGCTTGCTTGCTCTTTATAGGTGTGTTGGTAGACGTCTTCAGGAAAGGGCGATAACTCTGCACTTACCCCTGTCGTGTAGGGTGGTGTCCCATTTTAAGTGTCGCTGAAAGCATGGAGACATTTCAGCGAGTTGACGAGTGACAGTGACACTGAGTGAGCATGACATAGAAGAAGGGATGAGCTGTACCTGGAGGAGGCCAGGCCCAGCCCTACTGAGATCCAGCAGGTTTTAGAACTCAAACTGGACATTTCAGGGCTTCTATCTCCAGCGTGAAGCTGCACAGATGGGCTCTCACCCCACAAAGTACTTCAGGGGCACTAAGAACATTTCTGAAAGCACTTTGAAATGCAAGCTTTGTTACCAGAAAACATTTTCCATTACAAATAGAAATATTGGATTAATTTATTTTTTTTTCCCCATAATGAGCATTCACAGAACACTCCATTTTGTATTCTGTCTCAGCATGATAGCTCCATACTGAGTGGAAAAACAAAAATTAGTTTAATCAGTTTGTTGCCATACACACTTTAAGGAGCCTCATTTTAATGTGTTTGGCATTGCATTACATAAAAGTGATGAAATACATTTAGAAAAAATAGCCTGGCAACATATAATGGAAAAAAAAAAACAACTGTAGGCACAGTTGGGTCTCAAGACGTACAGTTTCATCCTTCCTCTGAGGCAAGACTGCCCATACAGATCAGTTTAAATGTCCGTCTAATCTATTCTTAAAAAACTCCAATGATGGAGATGCTTAGAAAAATCATGTGAATCCATTCCACTATCCATCTTACAGAGTTAGAAAGATTTTCCAATGTCTTACCTACATGTTAAATCTCATCCAATTGGAAATGCATATGGAGAATGTCTGATGACTGCCTTCTTTTTCTGACCTTTTCCAAATTCGAATATTGTTTTCTCAACTAAACAACCTGAACTCTTCCAACATTTTTTTTGAAAGTTTTGAACTTTATGCTCACATTTGTTACTCTACATTAGTCTCTTCCGGTTTGTCTATGTTATTTTTTTTCTGGTTTAATATATACATTTATGTATCTTATATACAAGACCCCTGCATTCCCTCAGTGACAAGTTGGTGGCTTCTATTTAATCTGGAGCCCCCTATAAAGCCCACATCCAGATCCATCCCTAAGTCACCATTTTTTTCATCCTATTATTATTTTCCTTCTTGACCAGACTAATTGCTAGCGCATTTTTAGAGTTTTAACTTGCTGACTTCAAATTGCTTCTGTGATCTGTTAGGTTTAGTTTGAATTCTAATTTTACCCTTTGGAAATCCTTAAATACTTGGTGTGATTCACAAAGTTTTGTACATGTGTAATTGGACTGAAGTCATTAAGTTAAAACATAGAGTGTTTCAAGTCTACTACATGGATGAGTTTGATGGTTAGCTGTCACTAATGGGATGTATCTGTCATAGTATATACTCACAAAACTCCTAACACCAGTCTTCATAGTCAGAGATGTGGCTTACAGCTCAGTGTGGGAAATAAACATTTACTTCAACAAACTACGTAGTAGGGAAGAGTCTGCTAAATGGAGCGTGCAGCAGCAACAGGTTCTTTTGCTTAGGTGTACATTTGTCACAAAAGTCCAAACTCTCAGTTCTCAAAGTTGGCTTGATTATTTTAACAATTCTGTTATCGCTAGCCCAATTACTCAGCTGTACCGATGAGATCACACCGACTTGCCAAAAAGCTGGAGGCTCCAGTCAACACAAGTTTTCCTGTGTTTTCATTTCACCCCAACCTTTCTGTAAGGCTTGCAGTAGGCAACCGAAGAGAGTAAGAATTGTACGAGTTGTTTGTGCTCCAGCAACCCACACCCCTGGAAACTCAGCAACATTTTCTGGCATGAGAAGCAAATGTGTCATAGGAATGTGAGGTAATAAGTGTCCTAGATTTACCTTGTCTTCAATTTACCTAATCCATGTTATACTTAGCTTGAAACAGTCTTGTCCAGTAATGCTATGCGTAACTGTTTTATGCTCCTTGACCAGAGATAGATAACTTACTCAAAGGTCATTCTAACTACAGACAAAGAAGAAAATTCAGTATCTAACATTTAAGCAACAATAAGGAGTTTTAATTATGTCCCAGATGAGATACTTCGTAGCTGGAAAAGTAACATTGAAGACTCTATTTAGAGGGAAAATATGTTATCACTTGCTATAGCTAGCCTTTAGTGTGTAATTTGCAGTTTCCTCATTTCCATTTTACATGCTGCACACCTTTTTCTTTCATTCTTTAGTTACTCGAGCAGAACTTACTTGTACAGAGTGAAGGTTTGTAAGAGCTCCATCGGGCAGGCTCTGAAGGCAGAATCCGTTGGGTTTTTTCATACTTCCTCGTCTCTGCCCCAGACGTGCTAGGGGCTGTGAGTCTGCTTCTGGTTTCTTTCTTATCAAACCCTACATCACGGCATCGCTAGGTTAGATCAGTGATCTACCGGCATCTGTGGTCAGCAGCATCACGCTGGTGGCTGAGCATTTACCCTCTTATTCTTACATAGGGACTGTGTTTTATTCAGCCTTATTGGTCTTCTGCTGAGCTCATCCTGTTAACAAGCTAAGTTTTCCAAAGTGGGGAAGGGGATAAAGTCTCATCCCAACTTTCTGGGACATCCTCTTTAAAAATTCAAGTGACTTTTACTAATAATGACACAGAATGTCCATTTTGGAGCTGCACACGCTGTGGCACAAGGATGGCAAGTGCCAGCACAGTGAGCAGCAAGTAGAAAAATAAATTCTTGTGCTTAAACAACGAGAATAGAATTGCTTTATGTTTCCCAGTGCTCTTTCACCAATCAAACTGCTTTGCACGTGCCCTATAGGCTTTTTTTCTCAAAAAAATTTTTAATAACACACTTTGATGCTAATTCTATTTTCCTAAAAAAATTGTGCTGTACAATGCTTCTTGTTATCTTTTCTACATGCTTCCCTACTACACTGATTATTTCTGTCCATTTCTTCTTTCAGAATCACATACCTGATCCAAAGCTCTGTTTGCTTCATGAAGAGAAACACAAGGCTCCTTCTCCCATGTGCCAACACCGGCCAAAGTTCTTCTTGTAGCTTAGTGGCTGCTTCTGAAGAGAGGCAACCTGCAGCCTCCTGAAGAACAGCAAATGGAAACATCAATGTCACCAGAGACTGAGATGGCACCTTGGCTTTGCCTAGTCCTGGCTTGCAAGACCCTCTCCAGAAGCCCCACCTTGCTGGATCAGTACACAGGTGTCCTCTTAGCCAGAGAGGGCAACAAGGCTGCTTCTGCGTTGTCTTTTAAGTTGAAAGCAACTTTGTTCTCCCAGCATATTCTGCTAGTTGTATCTGGGATACTTGCTTTTTTTCATTTGTTTCCAATTTCCCTAATGAGGTTTTTCATTGTTCTTTCCTTTATGCAGTTTTCACAGTTTTCTTTCATCTAATTCAATTTGTTAAATCTCCCCCATTCCCTTTCCATGTGGCTTTAGGATAAAAAATGAAAAGTGTTCTTAGAGGCGTAGTAGCCTGCGTATTTACAACAGTGACACCTTAAAACTCTAATGTACTCAAGTTGTGCTTTTAAATATGTTGGCCAGTCAAAGGCTTCCCACAGATCCACTAACAATGTTAAAACACGACTTCCTCTGTCTATTTAGCCCTTGTATGGCAAGTCTGTAAGTGATGGCTTCCTGGTTTTATAAATACTAACAGCTAAACAGCAAAGCATTTTCTGATTTCTTGGCCTCATATTTCCTTCAAAGATATCAAAAAGTATTTTCCTGAATTCTTTGGTGGGGCGTATTTGATGTGAATCAGGAGCGGAGGAAAACAAAAGAAAGGACCCATCATAAGTATGAAATCCCAGGTTTTATCCAAGCCTGGACAGTCCCGTGGCAGAAGAACCAAATTATAACTCTTGTCTTTCGATAGATTTAGTTGGGTTTAGCATCTGGCCCTGCAGCACTGAATGATGGATAGAATTAGTACTGACCTTCTCAGAAGAAGGAGTTTGCCACACTGGCTTAAGAGTCTGAGAGCAGCTTTACAGCACGTTCCCGTCGTCTGCAGTTTCACTCCGATTTCTCGCTGTCTCTCTCCTCCTCGCTGCGGTGCTTTCTCTCAGCTCCGCGGGGCCAGATTGGGAGGCAGCTTGTGAGACTCGTATACTTAGCTAGATGCATTCCACTTGCCAATGTGCTAAAAGTGAAGATATTTATAAATAATTGTTTCATTGTCTAGTTTGTTTAACCTTTCTGCATTGTTCTCACTTTGGAAAGTTCCATTCACCCGCATGACTGGAATAATACCTTTGTCAGAAACACTCCCCATTCAGTGTATCTGCTCAACTTGTGGAGCCAGGTCTTCTCCTGGGCTGTAAATCAGCACTCCTTCTGCGACTTAAAAAACATTTATGTGTTTGCCGATTTACAATTATTAAAGCTCTGGTGATGCAATATAAAAGTCAATGCTTGGAGAAGGAAAACAGCTGATAGATTTCTCTTCTTTGTATATACCCTCTGCCAAAAACACCATGATATGGATAGCGCAAGAATATTGGCAGTTTTTAGATGTATCTGAGTGTCACAAGGTATGCTGTATGGCAGGTAAGCACACTGAAGGTGCACAGGTTTGTCATTAAATAAGAGGTATCTTTGAGCTTATAAAATTACCTCTGTGTGCCATTTTTCATTAAGTGAAAAGGGAGCATAAAGTACTATTTGAATTCAGTCAAAAAAAAGAAAAAGAAACACCACAGCTTTCAGAGAAATACCTGATTTGTTCCAGGATTGTTCACTGGCTGATATACATATACTGTAACATTATTCTGTTTGTGTTTTAAAAGATGTGTCTTGAGTCACTGAACCAGCTCAAAACATGAATCTTGTCAGATCACAAAAAAGCTGAACCATTTTCAAATAAGTGAATGAGTGCTGATGCAGGGCTGCGTGCGAGACACCGACCAGCCAGTCTTCCTGTTTCTAAACACAGAAAAGCTAAACAAGATGCATCTCCATGGGCTAAAGTTTGGCTGATCTGAACCAGGGAATGAAGGGAAATGCAACTGTCTGCAATGCTCTTTATCAACCCATCTCCATATTTCACTCTTCCTTACAATGAACTAACCACGTAGAGTTTGTAAGATAGAGGTTAAGACAAATACTTGAACCTACCAACGACTACAGCTATAATGAAATAGCAATACATTGATGGGTTACTTCGCTTGTGCCCCAAATGCCAGCTGTACCAATGAGGGATTCTAAATGTGCTTGGCAGTTTTTTGGCAGGTGGTGAATGCTCTGAATTTCCCAATTATAGCAAAGGCAAGAAAGAAGGGAAAAAATTAAAGTACTTCAAGAAGGAAAAAAAAAATGCCAGGAACACTAGGAGGCCAAGACAGACACAGTCAGAGGCCTACTAATTTCATCAGAAAGTCTGTTCACGATACCTCCAGAACCAAGACTGTTGTTGATTGCACATATAATGGGGTTACAAAGATGCAGTCAATACCAAAGGTGGCCAGGGGGGCTTGTACTGCTGGCACCATGTGTAACATGGGAAGCCAAGAATTGGACTATCAGAACCAACAGTGAACTATTAGATACGGGTTTTCTGCTTGTGAAATTAACAGATCTGTCACAGAAATAGTTCAGGCAAAATGAATTCAGAAACCTCTGAACTGCAAGATGATATTTCTCTTTACAGGATCTGGTGTAACTATGGTTAATCAGGTGGTAAGAGAAAAAGCCCAGCAGGCATGCTGGTAAGAGGAAAAAAAAAAAGAAAGAAAAAAAACCCACCACTACAGATAATGTTTTCCTCTTGTTCCACATTAATTAGGGAGAGAGAGCTGGGGTTTATATGGTGAATTTATGCTAAACTGTTTTACTTGGAGAGGTAAAGCTTTAGTCTTAAGGAATGCAACTGAAGCTTTATGGATACAGAAAGCTTTCCTGGCTGTGCCATCAGGAAGGCATCCATGGTATGTTCCACAGCTCTGGTATGGTGCCCTGCTTCAGCTGCCTCTGTCACCAGTGCAGGGAGACAGGCTTTGGCCCTAACAGCAATTCCACCTGGGACAATCTTCTAAAAACTTCCATCAAAGTTACAGCTTAAAGTACAAAACCATTTTGTGTGAAGCAAAGTATCTATTTACCTGGTCTGGGACTCAGGGACAGCTCAGTTGTGCAGAGTGGTGTAAGAGAGAACAGCATCCATGATGAAGATGTGTACACAGCAAGAGGCTTTGTGGAGACGCCTGCCCTGGGCCGCTGGCCTGCAGCGTTAGTGACGGCGGGTGCTCCAGGTCTGCCTCTCCCTGTGTTAGGCACTTGGGAAAGTATTTACATTTGAAGTTCACTGGAGCGGATGGACTATGATGATAACTAAGCAGGAAGGGATCACAGCAAACAAAAGCAGCCCAGCACGGTTCTAAAAATAGTCCAGCAGTAACTAAAAACTCAGATTAGATCCCTGCCTCTGACTTCAAAACGGACTTGGATTCTTCCAGATACACAAATCCCTCGCTGAGAAGTCCCAGTGAACATTAACAGTTGTTCTGCTAGTACTGTGTAAGGGTCGGTGACTTACTCTTCTGACACAACTAATCTAACAACACTTTTAAAACACCAGTTTTCTTTCTGCACCTCTGACACAGGTAAACCGAGGCATTAAAATCCAGTTTATAGCCAAAGACTGCACTGTAGTGAAACACAACAGACAGCACCTCAGTTTCTAAGTCCCATGTATAGTTGTGCTGCTACACTTCCATGTTTTGCTGTTTTGGTTTAATATTTGTTTGGGTTTATAGTTGGGGTGGTTTTGTTCATTTTTGTTTCCCAGGTAACTTTCAAAGGCAATCTCATACTGCACAAACCAAAATATTTACAGCGTACCTTTGTTCTGTTGCACTCAGACTAAATTTTCTCCAAAGCAAGGCAAAGTGAGGTTGCCATACACTGAATCTGAAAAGGACTTTGAAAATATCTCAGCACACACATTTGTATTTTCATTTGCCCCATGAAACTCAGTACTGTTAACAGCAGAAATTAGCAACTTAAATGTTTTAGGCTTATCTCAGCTCTAAAAGGCCTTATACCTCTTAGAAATAAGAGGTATAAAAAAGCCTCTTAGAAATAATTTATCCCTACCACGGATGTTCAGGGGAGGATATTACCCATTTAATTTAGAAAGGCAGGGACTACAGTTTCTAAGCACTGTGTGACAATATAGTCATGCACTACAACCTACAAGAGATACCTTGTTGTCATACCTTCCAAGAAATTAATTGAGAAATCATGAGCGGGGTTTTTCTAGTGCAGTCAGCAATAGCTTAGCTCATTGCTTCTAGATATCACTTACCAATTATTTCACAGGAATCTAAGTTTAAGCAATTGCCAAATGCTCTTGAAAATGCCTATCCAGCTTTCTAAATACTTGTTTGAAATGAAATGCAGATATATTTTTTATATTTTTCTTTATATAAATATATGTTTTTTTAAATTTATTTTTATCTAAAAGCATAGACATAGACAATTACATGGATGCTCTCAGAAGGAGAAGGAACTCAGCTATATATCTGATTTGTTCAGGTATAAAGCTGACTTTATATATATATGCAGATTATTATTTAACAAGAGATGCGGTAGATAGTGAGGCAGAATCCCAGTGGGATGTTTGCTGTTAGCAGAGCATTTGGAGTGATCCCCAACAGAAAGAGCTTTGGTTAGCGATGCCTACTAAAGGCATTAAGCAGGTCTTACCAACTCAGCAAAATTAAGTCCATAGTATGAAATTTTGTTGAGGTCTCACAGGCACCAAGCAGGTGCTGCAACCATGTGTTGTGCAGCTTAACTGTTCTGAGGAAATGAGTTTGAAATCCTTATTTAGGGACCTCAGTCCCTGTGATGTTCACTGAAGCAGCCATCCACCTCAGAAGGTCCATTTGAAACCACCTCCAGAGTGACTAGCCACCAGAAGGCCAGCACACTGCAGCAGGAACAATAAGCAAATTCTGTTTTTCCCCTGAAGCAGGAGTCTTTATTAAGGACATAGCAGTGTCTCCACCTACTTATAATACAAAGCCTTAAATGTAAGTCCCTACAAATGCTTTCCCAATAAATAGATGTAGGTAATTCTTCAAAAGTACAGAAGACACAGAGCCTTCTCTCAATACACTTCTGTGCAAAGGCAGGTGGTTACAGCACCTTCTTGGGATCAGAAAGACACAAGTGGGAGTCCAAACCCGTGGGCAAACTTAACAGTCTCCACTCTCATCTGTCACAGTCATTCTGACGCAGAAAGGACTCAAGCTTCATGGGCCAGAAAGTGGGAACAAGAATGAGCATCACAGTACAATTTCAGATATGTCTTCAGTCAGTCTAAATCCATCCTTCATATGAAGAAGAAAACCAAATACATATTAATAAGCTTACCAGAATGTGATTGTATAAGAGGGGGGACAGCAAATCACTCTCCTCCCATATGTGTTCTATGAGAAAAAAGTTGTTGTCACCGCACATCAAGTAGAGATTGATTGTTTCACCATATGTAGGTTTGCTTTTAGATTAAGATATAGATGAAACCCCACAGAGAAGTCTACCCAACTTCTGGATACTAGCTTGGAAAAAAGCCTGCACAAGGTGACAAGGTGAGGTGGAACATACAACCAAGGTGCTCCAGGGCACAGGGAGCAGCAAAACTTCAGGACTGTGGGGAATTCTAGG